AATATATGAGTTTGCTCTATGAGAATCCATATATTCTAATTAGATTTCTCCTAAAATAAACTATACTGAATAAATGGAAGGTCATTTTATTTTGTTGTCTTGCATATCAAAAGCCAACGTTGTTTTTTACGACATATAAAAAGGTACCATTGCACTTCATTTACACCATATCTTTTAACTGAATTCCAACTATTTTGAGTTTATGTTGTCCATCTCTTGGGTTTGAGAAAATATTCAGTACTTATAAGGCATTAGGGGCCTGTTTGTTTGAGTTATAAGATTTAGGTGGTATAAGATTTTATATTCATTCCACTCTGATCCAATGGTATATTATACCCGATTTTAAACTATAATCTCATCCTTCCTTTTTTTTTTTCACAAACATTATCTGTATAATACTTACTTTAAAAAGTCAACAACTGCAACTACTCAATGTAAAAAAATAATTGTAACCTTAAAAAAAATTAAAAATTGCAACTGGCTTTTATATGAGACATTGTACATGAGGGCATTTGAGTCTTTTTACTCTATTATACCTCCATGAAATTTATACCGATAATATTATACCACGGCGTAGGTGGTATTGCTTAGCACCGTATACAAGGTATAAGAGTTACTGTTCACACCAGGTCAATACTATGACCCGAAAGTTAATGCCGAGTAAAAAATGCAAAATAAACAAGGTATAAGGTAGACCCCACGTACTATTTTCCTTATACCACTCTCTTATACCACCCTTATACCTCAAACAAACAGGCCTCAGATGAAATCATTATGTAGTGCATACAGCTTATAAAAAATTATCACAATAGTTGTTTGTTAGACCTACAAGTTGATTATTTCAAAAATAAAAAATCTAATAACTTTACAAGTGGCAATAATTGGTTGAGAATATATTATATTTTATTGGTGATATACACCACATGGTTCATGTGCATAGAGTATACATCCTCGCATTTCATCTACATTCAATTTTCTACCTTCTACCGTTGTCATTGTACGAGGTTTTTCATGAACACCATAACTACAAATATAAGGACTCAATAGAGTCAAATTAAGTATAGACTAAATCAAATTCGGTTCTTCATACCTAATAGAATTTATATCTCAAATTCTGATCAACTAATTAAAGATGGGTTCTTGTTAAAAGGCCAGCTATGAACAGATAATGGTTCCCAAAATTGCGATTAAGCCACAATGTAGCATTACGTGTACCAATTTTTACACATTTTCTTCCTTAATTTGTAATAATCTATGCACATGTTATTCAAGGCTTATAAACAAACCACCCTTTCCATCACTTTTCATTGTTCCCATAAGTTGTCTATCAGATGCTCAATTCTAATCAAGTGTTCCATTTAGTTTGGTGGCGCATGTTTATGTGAATAGTTCCATATAATAAATGATTGTCAATTTTGAAAAGTTTTGTCTACGACAAAATTGACAAAACTTTTGCATTACTCAAGACTATTTTTTGACTACACCATAATACTCTTTCAACTGACTAGATATGTTAAACAACAACAAGTTCATTTATTTTTATTTTCAGATACATATAATCTTGAATTACATATATTAGTCTAGAGCTCCCAGGAGGCTTAGTTAAAATGTATTTTTACGCTTATCTTTCTTTTTTCGTTGGTATTATATTTTGTAAAGAAGAGAAAGCTTGCTAATTAGTTCAAGAACACAATTGTTCTTGAGCTTTGACTTGTTCACTTGATTCCTCAATACCTATATATATCTATGATTTAGTGTACTCTTCTCGCCTTGGAGTAGGACTTTTACTTGGGTGCTATCATTCCCTTGGGCTCCAATCTCATCTTTCAAGCTCCACACAAATCAAGTTTTGAGACCAGATTCTACTTTCTCATCCATTCAAGCAAGTTCCAACAGATTAGGAAGCTGCTTTTAGTTGAGAGGGAGCCCTCATAATGTTTTGCTTTTATTATAGTCCATATAAACATACCAACCGAATCACTCAATATTTATTAATATTTCATAAATGGTTATTCATATTTCATCCTTTTTCTTCAATGAATTTGTTTTAGTTTTTTAATGACAAAAAAATACAAATGTTTGATGAATTTCACAATTTTTAATACAAATTGCTTATGTTATGCATGTTCTTGTTGATTGCTATAATTTCAAACACACACACACACATACAACTACATACACAATGTTTGATGAATTGTCATTTTCATTGATTTATTTCAATTATTCAGAAGTTTAAGTTGTGTGAATTTAGGATTCGTGTGGGATCGTAGTCTTGGTGAATTAGATTAAAATTTAATCAATTGAAAATTCTTTGTATCAATTCACATGACGGGGTATCCGGGTTGTTGAAAAAATGGTTCATGCAGTTAATTGCATAATTAACTTAAGAATTGATAATTTTGGTACGTTATGTTTAAAATTGGTGATTGACCTAGTGATAATTTTGATAAACCTATTCCCTTCTACTCTAGGTTGTGTCTAATAAACGTGTATAATTGTGAGAGAAGATCCACTATGCATCTCTCCTAATTAGGTATATCAGAGCGTGGTTGCCATGAGAATTGCACATACGCACATAGGCATTTATTGCACATTTTCCTATTTGACCTAGTTGTTTTGTGAATTGAGATTCATTATAACTACCAGTTGGTTATTAACAGCTTCAAAATAAGAAAGAGGTTCGGTTGTAAGACCACCACTATTTAATTGGTTTAATTATGCATATTAGAAGGCTTGAATGAGGGTTTTTCTAAAGTCTATAGATGAACGTGTAAGGTCATATGTGTTAGAGGGTTGGAGTTGTCCTACTGTCACTACTATTGCAGGTGGTGATTTAGTGACCGAACAAAATTCCTAAAGGCTTGATCAAAAATCAAGTTCGATTTTGCGGAGTGGAACTCGGAAGCCTTGAATGTTATATTCGATAACATAACACAAAATAAATTTCAGAGGATCTCCAATTGTGAGACTTCTAAATAGGCATGAGACATCTTAGAATTTTTCCACAAAGGAACACCCTTAGAGAAGATGTCTCGTCTTCAACGGTACACCTCTCAGTTTGAGACTTTGAGAATGCAAGAGGATGAAATATTTAGCAATTTTGTGCTAGATTAAGTGAGGATTAATTGGGTTTCGAGGTCACCTCGAGCGAGGATGGCATGGAGAGTATTTAGGATATTCATGATGCGTACAATGAATTATGTGAAGAATTTCTCAATGAAGTTCACAGTTCATATTTGCGAGCTTGAAGAAGAAAATAAGTCCTTGAAGGACAAGTTTAGATTAATAAAGAGAGTGTCACGGCCGTTTGCAGGGCAATCGAGCAGTCTGTCGACGACTTGAGCCATCTCTGCTCCACTGATCTAGTTTTATTCTTCTTTTCATTCCAGTGACAACTGCTCTTCCATTACTCAAGCGGTTATTCAAGAATTCTCATTTACTTGGTCCCCAAGATTAACCTAATTTTGAGCCTATAAATATGAAAAGTCTCCTAGAGTTAGGGTATATTTTTTGCGTGCTAATGTTTTGCCTCATAAACCTTAAAAGATCATAGATAAACCCTAGATCCCTAAGATCCAAAGGTCAAACCATCTTGATCCTTCTTATTTAACTTCACGCATTGAAGAAGAAGTTCTTTCTTAGTGATCAACAAAGTCATTTTTGTGTGTGCATCTTGAAAGTCTTGGGTGTAAAGCCTTGAAGATTTCTCAAGGAGCCTAGACAGTTCCTTATGGTGAACGCATGCAATTGAAGCTACTCAAGAATTCAAAGGGTGATATCTATAGAAGAGATTTACGACGAGAAAGATCATTTAGTCATGGAAAGTGGTTGAAGGATAAGATTTGAGTACGTATACATTGATTGAGTACAGTGGATTAGGCTCTATGCGAACCAGAATTTGTTCTACGGTTGTTCGTGAGAAGGGTTTCTACATTGACAAATTACTTGTGTTATGGATATGCTCGTTGATTGCTATAATTTTGCGCACACACACAAACATGCAATTGCACACACAATGTTTGATGAATTGCTCCTTTTATTGATTTATTTAACTCATTCATCAATTTAGGTTTTGTGGACATAGATTTTGGTGTGGGTCATAGTCTTCGTGAATTGGATTGTAATTTAATCAATTGATAAATCTGTACATCAATTCACATGAAGAGGTGTTTGGGTTGTTGAAAAAGGGGTTTACACAATTAATTGCATAATTTAGGTGAATATAACAAACAATCTTTCATCAAAAATTGTTTTCCCTCTTTTAATGTTAAAATCTAGAACAATTTCCATCCATTTTCCCCTCTTTTTGCGGTTGTGATTGTTGTATATCTCGTACCATGAGTTATACTATTGTACATGGTTTTTGGGTCAATGATATGTTACTTACAGAAAAAAGGGGTTGACTTAGATAGAAGCGGCATTTGTTCTTAGGGCAAAGGACATTTTTGTGTTGTTTATGTTTTTAATATCCCATGGGAAGATCTAAAATTTGAATTTGACAAATAGATGCATTAGGTTTGCAATAGAAATGGGTTGATAGAGAAAATCTCATCCTTTAGTGAATAAATTCGTATTCGAACGGATGAGGAAGGGACTCTTTCTGTTGATGGCATACACATTGACCAGACAAGGTTATGCTCTAAAATATAGTTTTATGTTTGTTCCTACAAATGGCCTTTACCAAAACGGATTGAACATGCATAGACAGCCAAGCAAATGGCATTTGCAAACTGCAGAAATTTTCTCTAAAATTGCTAGATTATTAAGATGATCCACAACCTTACACACAAGGGGAAAAATTACCCATAGACCCCCAATCAGTTGTTACCTACCACACATATGTAAACATGTTCTATATTGATAATAGTTGACCTTTATGGCCTGACAAGTAAATTACATAGTGAACAAACATTATTCAATTGGAAGAAAGAAATAAAAAAGCTAATATAGTTACACTTTTTGTGATCATTCTTCCTTATTAGTTGTTCAACTAGGTTTTCTTAGAACCGTGACTGAATCAAATTGATAACGTATGGATTCACTTGGAAAGCCTTCGCAAGAAGATCACTAGTGATCTTAGGATTTGATCCAAACACGGCATTTGCAATGGTAATAACTCCTGGGTTTTGGCTGCCCAGGCCTGCTATTGCAACAGCATTGGTGGGTCCAATGTTTTGCTGGAAGTGGATGAGACCCTGGGGAAACACAAATACATCCCCCGTCTGAAGTACTTTCATGATGAGACGATTTTCTGGATTAGAGGTGACAAACCCTACGTTGAGGGTGCCATGAAGGACAGTTAGAATTTCACTAGCCCGTGGATGTGTGTGTGGGGGGTTGATACCTCCAGGTGCAAAATCTATACGGGCCATGGAGATTCCAAGAGTATTAAGCCCTGCCAATTGAGCTACAAATACTGGTGTCACCTGCGATCCAACTGCATTTGTAGTATTGCCAGCCAAGTTAAGCCCGCTGAAAGAAAAATCTTTTGCTTGTACAATCTTTGGATTCTTGCAAACCAAACCATTCACTAGCACTACAAGAATGACAATAAACGAATAAGGAACATAAAAGATTACAAGTAGAGTTTGTTTCTAGTCTAAACACGAGAAGAATTAATGGAAACACACGTAATTATCAGCAAACCTGGGTTTGTCAAGTCTGCAACACAGAAATCTTGAAGAGGACTCGGGTCAGAGGCCAATGCAGTAGAACAAACAATAGCCAAGATTCCTAACAAAAGAAAATGGGATGCCATTTGAAAGCTAATGCAGATATCAAACTATATCTAGTTATTACCACAAGTGAGAATCGAGTTGCAAAAAAAGCACCACTTAGGGCTGCTTTTATAGAGAAAGGAGGGAGGGGAAGGAAAAGTCTGCCTTGTGCCACCCAGTCATCTGTGCAATGAAGGAGTCTTAGTCTTCTGTGTTCTAACTGAACCGTGTGAAAATGGTAAAAGTACATTCGTATCCGTTATAGCATTTTGTTTATTGCCAATTGCTAACAAAGTGGAATTTTGAAGGAAGGCAAACTGCCCTTTTCATGATGTAATGAGCAATTTTTTTCTCTTACTAATGGTGATCGAATTGAGCAATATTATTGTAACATAATTTACTGATATAATTTGTTGTCCTAATTCACTGTGACTTTTGTATTGATTGTAACTCTCATCAAACATTGAAACTTGACGTTAATCCAATGATTTTTATGAAATTATATTATTATATTAGTAAATTAAGTCAAATTTTTCTGTTCAAATAACATTATTCCATTGAATTTGCTACTTTATGACTTGGCGGGAGGGATTACCTATTATATTTGGTATCTATCTAGGCCTCACAGTTGCAGGCACAATTTGTCACTCTTACATGAAAATCTGCAGGGATATGAGAATCTAACATGAAATCGATATAAATTTGTAGATTTGGATTTAATTTTAGTGGGTTTGGGTTATTTAACAAATAAGTTGCAACAAACTCAGCTAAATACGAAATTAACTCGTTAAACCTGACCTACACTTGACACGGCATAAACTCAGCTATACATGATTATAAACAGATCAAGAATGGAAAGAATAAATTTTAACACAATATCACTAGACATTACAAGAACTTGACAAGCCTAATTCATTGCCAACTACAATAACTCTTCATTTTGTAGGCTTTGAACCGGTTTAAATTACCAATTTGGGCGACTTCTACAAATCAGAGAAAATATTTTAGCTGCAGCTGCTCATTTCGAAACAATAAAATTCGTTGCGAAATGATGAGGCAAGGAAGGTTTGAAATGAAAGGAAGCAAGGAAGGAACTTGTGCATTTGTCTATTGCACAGATTGTTGCTACGTTCTTGTCAGGAGACTTTGTAAAACACAGTGGAAAGAGGTTGAGATAGCTTTTTCCATTGGATGTTAGCTAACCATAATATTTAGATATGAAGTGTGATAATTTTTGTCATGTCATTTTCGGTTGATGTTGAGAAATAATTAAATTTTTATTTTAAATTATTTAATTAATGGTGTGGGATGTTCTAACGCTAACTTAACATATTTATTATTGTTTTATAACTCATGAATTAAAAACTCAAAGCTAAGACATCGTTATTTCTCAAATAAACCCACCAATAATGTTAGTCATAATTTAAAAACCCACCCAGTCCATGTAAAGCAAAACAAGGAAACTAGTGCTTTTACAATGATGCAAGTCAATACGGATAAAAAATGCCAAAAATCAGACATTTTATCCATATATATAATATCAATTAAACGTGTTTATCTTATTAAATCTGAATTTTTTTTGTTTAATACTAACTTAACTTATTTATTATTGATGATAGTCAGTCGTGTTCTTTTATTCTTATTAGGAATAGTCAAATAAGCGCCAACAATGTAGGTTATAGTTTTACTCACTTTTGGGTAGTGCATTGTCTATGAATTTATGTTAAATTCTCTATGGCGGCAATTTTCTGTAGAACCATATTGACACACGAAAAACTTACACACAAATTTTGTTGAGTTAGAGTTGACAATGGTGTGGCTAACACATTCATTCCACGTCGGGAATCATTCGTAGGTTGTTCAAGATTTTCATCACTGACATCTACATTTTCAATTTCAATAGCCTCTTGCATCATTCCAATCATATCATCCTCAATATTTCAATCCTCTAAGATTTAATTTTCCTAGTTGTCATGCCTCAGAACGTAGGCTTCCCATATTTAGTCCAATTCTTATACTTCCTTAAAAAGTCATTTATAATTAGGTGTTCTCGCACAACCTCTTGTTTAACAACACTTGCACGGACAATAAATCATGGCATCTTCCGCTTGATCTGTGTATGCAAACTTGAGGAAATTCCTCAACTCCTCTAAAGTATGCACTTGAAAGCCTCTCTATTGAATCAATTCAACTCTTATCCATATTTCTACTATCCTCAACTATGTCACACATCCACATGAAGGTAATGTAGTTATCACAAAAATTAAACTTAATGAGCACCCAATAACTAACATATTCATGATAGAGTGAAGGACAATTAAATATAGTAAGATGCACAAGTGACTAAAAAATAAATGTACTCGTGAAAAGCCGGAGGTTATTGGTACGTTTTTCTCATGTTACAACATGAAAAGACAAAATAAAAATTCTGCCACTTAGAAACAATTAATGGTGAACTAATAACCTTCTAGCTTTGCATCACGTTATTTATGTGCCCCAATCAAACCATTTTTTAGAAGTATTATAAAATGGATAGATTTATCAATAACTTACAACAAACACAATTTAAAAACGTATCAATGGAATTAGAACATACAAAGATAATCAATTTACAGGACTCGAAGTAAGATAAAATGACTAAGAAAAATAATTGTCATTCATTCGCAAAGTGAAATTCATAATACCTAGACACTTACTGGAAGCCTGAAATGCGAAAAAGTTTGACCACTATTCTATTGTAATAATTGAAATTTTGGCACAAAGTCACACACCATCGATTAAAATCAATTAGGAGATTTATTGACTGAGCAATTTATGAAATATATAAATTAAAATTTAATTAAAAAAATTATTAAAGTACAAAGAGTCACCGGAATGTCACAAAAGTTACAAAAATTCACTAATAGAAAGACAAATTATCACCTGAAAATCAAAGGGACAAATCTATCATCTGTTAACCAACAGCGTGTGTTTGTGTAAATTGATTGTGACAGTTTTTGTTTTGTGTATGTGGGCATGCGTGTGAGAGTGTGTGTGTGTGTGTGAGAGAGACCGAGAGAGAGAGAGAGGGCCTTTGGCAGTGTGGGCGTTGTGACCATGTGTGTGTGTCTGTGTGTCGTATTATTATTAATTGGTATGGAATTGAGACATATGTGGAAATGTGTATAAAAACAAAGGCAAAAGTAGAAGTAGAGCTACGGGTTCAATAATCTACTTTAGACCCACCAGATGCCATATATAGGTATTGAGTTGACCAGCAATTACATTGTCCCTTTAAATTATAATTGATAATATTAAAATAGCCCATTATGATGATTAAAACAGTCCATTAATCTAAATAAAAAACTTGCTTTTGAATTGAACTGACCCAAAATTAAAGTGTATGAAGTATGCGCTCGATATTATAAGAACAAATAAGGGTAAATTTTAAAATTAAAAATTTTACTCTTTAACTTTCTTTTATTAATAGTTATAGATTAATCCTTGGATATTCTTGGCAACTGGCAAGAGGAGCATGAACCTGGATTGGGTTCAATTGAAGTTTTAAAGAATCCAAATAAACCTAATAAAATCACAAAGGGGTTAATGGAAGCAGCAAGGTTATTTGAAATCAAAGAAATAAAAAATTAATTATGTAGAAACTTCTTTGAACCTCAACTAAAGTTTAGTTTATTAGAAGAAACTAAGAGGATTATAGTCCATTGCAAATTCTATTATACAATTCATCATACATATCTATTCAATGCCCTTGCAAATGGCCAGATCAGAAGCTCACCAAGAACCCACCAAATTTTAGAAGATCCCGAAAAAAGCATCAAGGAGTTTGTAGAAGGAGACAATGGAGATGGCATAAGCAATTGCCCATGCAATGACATTGGACACCAAATCCTTGAAAATGTAATGGAGGGATAAGATTCTTGGCCCATTGATGGACCATACATTTTTTTTTTCTTGAAATCCCAATCTCAATTTTGGTAATTAGTTCACTTTGACCTCTAAATAAGGAGGCTATCAGCATTATAGTAAGCATCTAGTCTTCAGAGTCTAGTGAGTGCATAAGAGTCTAACTAAGTATTTTCATTTTCAATGTCTATTTAGAATGAGTTTGAATGTTTATGTGTGTGTTCAAATGTAATGTGTGAGTAAAACTCTCTATTGAAGAGTTAGTAAGGTCCTTGTAGTCTTTCAAATATTGAATAAAATCTTTTAGTGCTACATCTTCGTTGTTGTCTTTCATCAACTATCAGTTCCTACAATTTTAGTCTATTTTTCCTCTATATCAAAAGAGAGATAAATAATATTATAATTTAGTGACATAGAAGGAATTATTAAAGATTAGGAGGTGCCATGAGTTTTTTCCAGTAACTCAAAGATGAGTCCTAATACCTGGAATCTTGCTTGAGATACAAGAACGGGGAATAGGCTTCTAGAGACAAATTAAAGCCGAAGGGGGAGGAAGCAAAGTGGACCCTGAAAGGTAAGAACAATATGTGACTTCGATTATATAACTAAATACCTCTTCAATTATTTTCATGTTATATATTGGACACAACGTTGAATCATAATCAGATTGTATTACAAAGGGAGATTGAAACATTAGAACAATAGAAACGTGAATTAGAATCAAGGGCAACAACTTTATTTAACAATTAATTTTTAAATTAGATTTATAATTGGGCAGATAAATTATCAAAAACATAAAGCTTAAAAACTTGGAAGCCAACTAGAAAGGCTTTGTATAGGTTAAAATAATATTGCTATAGTCCAGGAGTAGACATTTTAACAATTGACGTATATTGAGTACATTATGTAAACAATTTGGTATTTATTTGTTGAGTGGAGTAAAACCCTTTTCAAAGTCTCAAGGAGGATCCAAATTTGTTTCAGGTGGAGCTCATTTTCTCTCTAACTAGATGTTTGGAGAAGTTCTCCTATAGCGTCGACTTAGTTTAAGCTTCAGTCTTATACTATTAATAATCTCCTTATACAGAAAACACCTACATCTCAGTATGTTATTTTGAAAGTCCTTTTGTTCCTTATT